CCCCCGGCGCATCGTTCTTTCTAACAGTTCCTGGACCACCTGCCCTAGTCAACACATCCATTTGCTGGTTCTGTGAATCCTAGAAAACAGGAGAGAGAAACACATTGCCCCAAACTTGATCCTCTTGTCTCTGTCTAGACAGTATTTTCATCTGAAATTTCTTCTTTCCTTTTTTCCTTACCTCCACCCCCTTTCTCCCTCTTCGCTACTGTCCCTCCTCTAATGGATTTCTTAAATATCTCCAGCCAGCCATCAATATTTTGCATATCAGTGACACTGGCTTCTGTTGAAGTTGGAATTTCCTATCATGTGCTCCTCTCTTGCTTATAGTTCCCCAAGGGCTCCTTATGGTCGTATCCCCCCACGTTTCTTTCAATTGCCCTATCTTTAGAAACTGTCTCTCAGCTTCCAGTCACTGCTTGCCATTCCCACTTCTGGCTCTTAAATAAATTGTTCTTGTCTTAGTGCTTTAGTCTATCTGTGAAGCAGGGTTAGACATGTGATAACTCAATGAGGAGTCTGCTGTCAGGGCCTATGCTTCTAATCCTAGTACCTGAGAGGCTGAAAAGGGGGGCTCGGAGTTGGAAGAAAGCCTGGGCTACAAAGTGGAGAGATTCCCTAAACCCCAAACAAAATCCTTAATGAACAAGCACATATAAGTGACTTAGTACATGAGTATAAAATGGATTGATATGACTAAACTCATGAACTTTATAAGATGCCATCAGACTTCAGCTGCCTTGAAGAAAATGGAAGAACAAATTTACTGTGTTAAAAGTTCATTCTCAGGCCAAATGAAGTAACTTAGGGCTTAATAATTATTTATGACCAGTTAGTTACTGTTCCCTTTTGTTGATTAGGGAATCACTACAAAGGTTTTGAAATTGGAAGTAATAATGAACTTGACTTAAGTGCCTGTGTTGGAAAAGAGGGATGGAATAGAAGTGTAGGCACCACATCCTCACTCAGTTGCTTTATTAATCTCAACAAAATGCTTTTAGGGAATTTTGAAGTTTAAAAATTTCAGGTTGATTCTCTTTGCTAAGTGTTAGGAAATTAGAATAATGAAAACATGCTATTACAAAACTGGAAAGTCATGTAAATGTTGTATCACCTTGTCTAGGTGTATGTAAGACTCTGAGGTGTCCAGGTCTGATTACTCAGGTTGGAAGTTTGAGCAATACACAGGGACTGTGTTGCTGACATAATACAGTAAAACGTAGTGTCCTGTGACCGACCATGAGACCACGCGGTAGTAGATGCTTTCAGCTGCTTCCCAGCTTGTTATTTAGAGCATGGACCGACTCCATTCTCTTCAAGCAGTTGTACTGAGAACTCCTGATCAGCAGAGGATTTGTGGCTGGGATAGAGTTTAAGGGCTGGAATTTAGTGGAGTTACAATTTTGAATAGAAGCAGGCTCAGTTCCTTAAAGCTGTTGGAACTGGGTGGGTCCTGATAAAGTAAGTGCTGGAGGAGGAGACCTACTGAACCTATTCAGAAGCCAGGGCCAAAGGCTTCCACCGGACTGTTTCACATATTGGCCTCTTTGAACTCACCTTGAAGAATTGGGAGCAAGTCACTGTCCTACTGTTTGCTCAAAGCAGGACTGTGTTGAAAGTGAAGGGGTTCAGTCATTTTTGTCACCCTGATGTCATTTCCTCTAACAGAAAGGAATGTGCCTGGAAAATGGTTTTAACACCTTAATAAAGTTGGAGCAATGAAGGTGACACAAAAGAGGATAAATGAAGCCTCAAGTGGTAGTTGATGCCTGTAATTCCAGCACGTGGGAGGCTGAGGGAGGTGGAAAGCTAGCCTGAGTTGCATAGTGAGTTCTAGGCTAGCCTGGACTATGAAGTGAGACTGTCTTAAACATAAGAAGGGCAGTGGGGTCTTGGATTTCAGTACAAATTCTGTGTCACAGTCTAACCTTTACTGGCATGTTGAGGACTTCCTGCTGCCTTAGTGGGGTTAAGGGTTTCTGTAGCACTCAGAAAAATCTGTGCAATAAAAGTAAACATTCCCACATACCAGAGGAACCCCCTCCTGTTAAATGTTACTTTGTTTCATTGCGTTAGAATAATGTTAATCTGGTGGGGTTACACAGTTCATGAAGTTTCTGTGCTTTGATGTTATTGAAGTTCACAACAATGTATAATATTTTATTGTTGCAGGAACTATATACTGTTTTGTGACATATATATTTATTGTGAATCTGAACATGAGGTATTGTTTTTGGTTTTGAATCATATTTGAATCAGGGGCTAGCAATGATGCCTGAAACATCAACTCCACTTAGCTTCTTTTCTATGAAATTTATCAGTGTTTTTTTAGCATTCATTCAATAAGTAACTAATCTGTATTATTGCTGAGGCCTGTTAAACTTAACGTGTGGCAAAAATAAGTAAAATATGGTCTTATGCTGAGCACCCATCACTTGCCAAAATACTTCCTGTACATTTGAAATGATAGTTAAATCCCAGTGATTACAGCTGGTAAAATCTACTACTGCTTGCAGCAAAATATCAGATGTCATTAACTAATTATCTGTTGCAATGAAATCTAAACATCTGTTTCTCCTCACTTTGGCTCCTGATCACAAGCTGGGCATCTTTTCTGTGAAGCTGGGTCATCCCATGGTGACAATTCCTGAACATGACACTCTTGACTCTAAAGAGGTAACGTAAGATAGGTGCAGAGATCTATGTCTGTAGAAGTAAGACATTCTTATTTCTTTCAATATCAACAAAATGACAACATTTTAGTTTTGAGATTATATATAATGTAATGTTTATCCCTTCCCCTTTCTCCCTTCAAACCATCTCTCACACCCCCCCTTGCTATTTTTAAATTCATGGCCTCTTTCTTCATTAATTGTTATTATATGCATATATATATACATATATATATATATATATATATATATATATATATATTCCCGAATATAACCTGCACAGTCTGTATAATGTTGCATGTATGTATGTTTTCAGGCTGATCATTTACTCTTAGGTAACCACTTTGTGTGCTCTTCCCTGGGGAAGATTATTTCTCCCCTACTTAGGTTCCCTTAGTTGTCTGTAGTTCTTTATGTGGGTTTGAGGCCTTGTGGCCATTTCCTTGTCCTCTTTTCTGTGTCTATTGATGTCCTTGTTCAGCTCATGCTTAGAGAATTATGTTGGTGAGACGTTATAGGTGTAGCTTCTGACATTCCTAGGAGACACAATCTTACAGCAAACTCCATGATCTTCTGTCTCACAATCTTTTTCTTTCTTCATCAGTAATGTTCCCTGGGCCTTAGGTATGGTCATGTTTTGTACATGAATCCATTAGAACTGACTTCTCGACTCTGAATTTTGATTGGTTGTAGTTTTCTGCAATTCTCTTGATCTGGCTTAGTGAGGTCATGTTGTAGGTTCTCTTCCAATATCCATGACTTCGCTGGTCTTGGTTCATTGGCCAGGTTTCCAGTACCATGCATAATTTCCTTCTTGTTGATTGGGTTTTTTAGTCCCATTAGAGAGTTCATTATTGCCAAGGTACGCATGCCACTACCGAACTCTTAGGGTTATTGTGCCATGCTGGTCATTGTTACAGTTCATAGATGTGATAGCTAGGTAGAACTGTTGGCTGCTTCCCTCCTTTGGAAGTTTATATAGGGTCTTCTGGAACTATGAAAACTAGTAATCAGGGGGGACATACTCATGTCAGCTCTAGTTCATAGACATTTTTGGCCCTGTTTCTGAATTGCATGGTATCTTCAGCAACAGGGGCTGATCTTCTGCCACCAGGAGCAACCAAGAGTGATAGCTATAGACTGTATGTTTTGAGAGTCCCCCAGAAGGTCCTGGCAAACAACTCAAAAGAGAGCTTTTCATGTTTGTATTGAGGCTTTTGGTAGGTGGACTTTGGCTCTTAGAGGCAACATTGTTTTCACTTTTTTAAAGAGAGATAATGACTACTTGGCTGACTGTGTGGTTCTAAAGTACCTGATTGCTTGTAGAAGGACCACTGGAATTCCATCTGTATACATCACCAGGACAAACCAACTTCCTCTTCCTCAGCCATCAATCTTTGGCATTTTTATGTTCAAGTGTAAAACTACTGCTTATTGTCAAGTGTGCGTGGGTGGCCTATGAAAATGGGGTGTGTTTTAGTCAGATGGCTGTGCTAGCTGGCTCTCAGGTACCGGGACAGAGGATAGTTCTGTTCCCTGACCCCCTCTCCAACTCCACAAATGAGTTCTATATGTTGGCAAGTGTCTATAGAAAAAGTATGAACAAGTTCAGCCATACTATCCCAATTTCATGTGATAATTTTTTTGTCATGTTCATATTTAAGCTGATAAACAGAGGCTAAATTTTAAACCCCTCCTTTTATTTTTACAGATGCCATATTATACAAAGAAAATAACTGAGCAAAAATTTCTATGTGTGGTTTAATTTGTGTTTCTCAAGAGAAGTATGTTGATTTTTTTGTACATCATTTCAGATAAAGTGAAAAATCTGAGAAAATGTAAATTTTACATTTAATCAGTTTCTCTGTGTGTGTGCTTGTGTGTGTGTGTGTGTTTATGTGTGTGTGTGTGTTTATGTGTGTAAGCATGCCACAGTGTGCATGTGGAGATCAGAGGATAATGATTGGTTCTTTCCATCCACCTTGTGGGACCCAGAGATTGAGCTCTGCTCATGAGGCTCAGCAGCAAGCATTGTTTTTACCTATTAAGCTTGAGAATGTGAATTTTAGAAGACTCATCCTTCAAAGGGGATGGGGAGCTTATGCATTCTTTTTAAATACCTTTGTTGTAGATACTCTCACAAATGAAGTATAGAAAACAACCCACTGTGAAACAAAGAAGTAAAAATAACAAAATTGGAAATAAAACTCAAAATTTTCTTTTTAGGAATATTTTTCACAATTATAGATATACTATACACTTTTTATAAACTGACAATTCCTATTTCTACAGTTTAGGGACAAATCTAAAATCTGGATTATTGTTTTATGTTTGAAAGACAGTTTATATATTTTGATGGCGGTTCCTGTATTTTTATTTTTATTTATTTATTTCCTTTGAGATAGGGTCTCATGTAGCTCAAGCTGGCATTGAACTTTCTTTGTATCCAAAAGTGACCTTGAACTCTAAATCCTCCTGTTTCCCTGGGATTAGAGGCATGTGTCACTATTCCTCGTGAAAATTTGTTTATTTATTGTCAATATTTTCATTATTAATGATAGTCATCATCATAATCATCCTTATTATTATATTTTGAGTGATAATCATAATTGAACATAGAGCCATATATATGCCAGGCAATTGCTTTACCAGCCCCCTACTTGGGCAAATTTTGAAGTTGTCATTGTGCAAAATCTTCTAGGTTTTCTGCAGTGACAATAGTGTAAAATGTAAAGGTGTACATGGGTAGGCCACATTAGTGCTTTTGGATACATTTCTGATTGTCTTTAAGGTAATGCACTAAGGATGGGATTTTTGGTTCCTTGATATATGCATATGGAGACATATATTGCCTCTAACACATGCATACACTGCTCTACTAAAAAATAATATAGCTCAGTCTACCACGAGTGTGGTACAATACCTGTCTCTGTGTGCTCTTGCTGGAACTGAAATGATTATACACAACAATTTATGGAGGACATTCTGTATGTGGAAAAGAAAGCCACATACTTTCTTTGTCACTGACTATTCTTAAGCACTTTTATTATTCTTGTTTTACAGTGAGCAAACTTGGGCCGAGGGAAAGTTAGTCTACTGGAATAGCTGGGAAGTGTAGGCACAATCTAGTATTAAATCTCTACTGATTGCCTAGCAACTTGGTTTAAGTACCCTCTCACACTCTGTCCAGCATTTAAATTCAGAACCTTAATTTAGATAAAGGTCTTTATCTACATTTTTTTCTGTCTGTCTCTAAGTCTCCTCCTGTGCTATCTAGTTCCTTCCTCTCGTAGACACTATTGTGGAGTACTTGCCGATTTCATTCAGAGGAGTTTAAAATTGTGTGTGTGTCTATTGTTTTGCATGGACTGACACTCTTCCGATCCACCGGATGCTGACATTGCCAATGAGCAGCAAACGCTCTTTATATAGTCGGGATAATGACCTTGTCACATGTGTCGTCCCTCTCAGTACAATGGTGACAAATGATACAGAAATAAGAATTCGCACCAGTGTGCATGTACCCAAATAGGAGAGGGGTGGAATAAATTTTGTTCTTTCCTGATGAATATTTAAAAAAAAATGAAATATTATTGCCTGCATTTCAAACCATACAAGTTTTTTTTTCAAATTCACTTATGCCAATCTACTCTCTATCGATGTCGCTATAAAATAAGGTTAAATTAGGTGTTTATGTGAACAACCAAAGCATCCAGTTCAGACAGTAATACTGAACTGAGAACTTATCAGTTTTAGGTAATATAAAACAGTGCTTCAAGTTGCCAAATAACATGGGATAGAGCATTTTATCACGTTGTGTGGGCGTGTGCTTATGAAAACTTGTTTTTTATTCTTTTATTGAAATAGATGCTTTTCATGCAATATATTCTGTTTATAGTTTCACTTCCCCTCACTCCCAGTTCCTCTCTACGTTCCCTCCCATCCGGATCCACATTCTTTCTGTCTCATTAGAAAACAAACAAGCATAAGGAATAATGATAATAAAATAAAAAAGATAAATAAAAAACAAGTTGGAATATGACAAAACTATAAAACAAGAAAAAGACTCAAAGAAAAAGCACAAGAAGTGTATATAGATGCAGACACACACGTTTGCACACACAGGAATCCCACAAAAACACAAAACTGGAAGTCATAATAAGGACCTGTAAGGTAGAAGAAAGAAAGGAAGGAAGAAAAAGAAAAAGGAAGGAGGGAGGAAAGGAAGGAAGGATAGAAAGAAAGAAAGACCAAATTTCTTTAACATAATGAGACAAAGAACCTCAAAAGATGCTGCTGAGTTCATTTTCTGTTGACCATTTACTGCTGGGCATGGGGCCTACCCTTAAAGAGTGGTTTGTCCTGGTCCCAGGGGAGTCCTTGCCCTGGACGAGATGGGAATGGGGGGCGGGAGGAGGGAGGACAGGGGAATCCGTGGCTGCTATGTAAAATTAAATTAAATTATAAAATTAAAAAAAAAAGAGTGGTTTGTTTCTCCAGTGAGATTCCCTTGGAGAAAAAAAAAAAATCATTTGCAATGGCTATCATTGGAGATAGCTTCCTGGTTAGGAATGGGTGTGTGTGTCTACTTCTCCTTTCAACTCTAGAATTCCATCTGGTGCAGACCCATGCAGGCCCTGTGCATGCTGCCTCAGTTCCTCTGAGTTCCGATGTGTGCCATTCCCATTGTTTCTAGAAGACCTTGATTCCTTGGTGTCTTCGATCCCCTCTGTCTCTTACTCTCTTTTTGCCTCCTCTCTCTCAAAGTTCCCTGATCCCCAAGGGGAGGGATTTAAAGGAAACATCCCTTTTAGGGCAGAAAATGTTCCAAAGGCTCTTACTTTCTGCATAATGTCTGGCTGTGGGTCTCTGTATTTGTTCCCATCTGCTTCGGGAGGAAGCCTCTCTGTTAATGGCTGAGCAAGGCACTGATCTATGAGGATGGCAGAATGTTATGAGGAGTCATTTTATTGCTACATTCCTTTAACAGAACAGTAATGTTTG